CAACTATGAAATTATTTCTCAGTACTTATTCACTGTTACAATGCTGTACCATTACTTCACCATCCTACTGCAGCCAGATCTGAAGGCCTTTGCCGCATTCTGGCCATGCTTTACAAAGAAATCTAAATGAACATAGAGATCGCGGAAAGTACCGTGACAATAGATGTCGGCACTTCAGTCGAATTTATCGACCACATTACAAGTGACTCTGATTGTGCAAGTCGCGCCCAGGCCAAACGCAAACGCATTGCTTAAACAGTTTTACTGATAAAACATTAGGCCAGAGGGACTGTCGCTGAAATTATGGTCGACATAGTCCATGTCCATCTTTCATAGTTGCCAAGACCAACACAACGACGTCTGACAATTACTGTACATGTCAATTAACATTTATAATAATTTATTTAAAAAAAAAACAAAGCAAAGGAAACAAGACATTGAATGACTGTTCCCTGGTCGTGACTAATTTATATTAAAATTGGTAAAAATAGTTTATAATGTCATAAATTGCATGATATTTCGATATTAAAAATATGTATATTTAAATATGTATTTTAGGTATGTTATAGGTCAATTAGAGAATTGTATTTATTTAATTAAAGCTACTACTGTATATATGTTTGAACATCCAAATAAATAATGGTTTTCTATTAATTTAATTCAAAGAAAACGGCGATACTATGAATGACTCTGGTGACATGTTTTAATTTTACACTTGTCACCGTACTATTAACAACAATTGATTTGAGAATTGATTTCCATTGCACAGCAGTCACTTTTCCGTCATTTGCACATACCAGTCTTTATCTGTCATCACCTCTACGGGGGCCCTTTTAGCACATATTTTAATGATATTTATGATAAAAACGTACTGACTGGCCTTTATATGTCTTGCATATTAATAATTCATCCATTTGTGAATAGTGTTCAGCATAAAATGTCGAAAACAAAACTCGTTTGCGAAAACTAGTTTAAAGCGGGAGGGAATTGAGTCCCAATCGACGATAACAACACACGCTAGAAAGAAACGCTTGTTGTAAACAATGACACGCAATGGCCATCTGACGCATGCGCAGGTGACGACTCCCCTCCCCCGCTTTAAGCTAATACTAACGACTTAGAACGAAAAGCTCACTTATATGTTCAAAATATATATATATGAAGGAACAGTTTGCCTATTTTTTTTTATTAAATTGACTAAAATATAAGAGTTATGCTTATTTGAAAATAGGGTTCGGTATCTTCTCCGGCGTTTGTAGGGGGTAGCGTTTACTAGTTTCACCGTATTTAATTTCATACCTCACTGAACGCTACTTCAATCTAGTGCAGGTAATAATAATTATATAGTAAATATCATATAGGAGAGGATCGTTGGGGCGCTCTAATTGACAACATTGCATTGTTGCCTAGTATTCTGTACTCAGACCGAATTCCGTGCGCAATTTTGCCAGAATAGGATTTGCCTGGTCTTTCAAACAGATGGCAATTATCCGAGTGCAATTTTACTGCATTTCCGTCAGCTAGAATTCTGTCAGCTACACCGACTGTTATTTGGGGCATACATTCTTGCCTGTGACTGTGTAGTTTTTTGCATTTTTTTTTCTTTCAATCCCTCAATCTCATCTAGTTGGTCACCAGTACAACTTAATGTGGAGTTGGTTGGATGATGAACATTATGAAGAATGTGCAAATCTTGGTTGAGATGGTTATTAAGTTATGGTTAATAATTCCATACCAATTATCATTCACTCAGTTCTGTAGATAACTGTGTTGGTAAAACAATCAAGATAATCCAGATTCAATATAACTATGGCCCTAACATTTTTTTGAGTATCAAGTTAGTTTTGCTTTACGAATTTTTTGTTAAAGTAGTACCAATCTTACCTCCTGTAGTATATTACGTGTGTCGAATTGTCTCTGTTCCCCAGTGTCACCCCATCCTAACACAGTACCATATGTGTTTGGTTGAAGCAACTGTTCAGCTTTTTCAACTGATGGCAGGCACACTACAATTATAAAACATATGTAACATAACATTTCTTGGTATTATTAATATAGAAATTATTCAGATGTTTAATGCCATATCTGATTAGAGAGGTGAGTAGTAAGTTTGACAAGAATGGATGAATATTGAATGACAAATTAATAAATGAGCAATGATATTTGTTATGTTTCTGTAGATTTAACTATCCGTTCTTATATCAATTTCAGTGATAATTTTTATTGATTTGATGATATTGTTTTAATATTGATATTGTAGTTAAAATATTCATATTTGAGTGAATACGATTAAAACACTTAAAAACACGTTTGACATGTTTGAATAATTAATAAAGTAATATCGCCGTATACATTTTACCTAAAGTGTGACTGATGTTACATCGCGCCCTATTTGATATTGGTCTCATGGCAATGCATTCAACCGGGATACAATAAACTATATTATCATACAATTATCTTTTGTATTTGCAACTTTATATTTCGATATTAACAAACCATTGAGTTTATTAGTTATTGAGTTTCTGGAATTGTTACCAAATATATAGAGTTGTCGACAAGTATTGCATAGATGTATATAGGTGACATGATAACATTTTACTGCGTATTTACTATACCTGGCTTGATCTTTTCTGTGAAAACAACATGTTCTGTCAATCGAATAAGAGCAATATCTGCATCAAACGCTAGATTATAATCAGGATGCACAATAATTTCGTCCACATTAATCCCACTTTTAACTATATCTAAATCGTGTTTTCCGAGGTAAACCGTTAGCGTACTTTCGTTGACACGTGAGACATTAATACAGGTCGCAGCTGTCACAACCCAATTTGTTGATATCAGAGCTCCTCCACAGAAATGCACGCGATTTCTCGTGTGATATAGCACAGCCATCCAGGGCCACTCTCCTATTGCTGCGTCTTGTCCACCGATTATTCTTTTAGGTCTTCTTCGTGCAATACCGCATTCTCCTAAAAACAAGACACTATATACTCAGTTACGAGCATTGTGAAGCTATTTAAATCCCAGGGGTCACTCTATATGCCGTTACTACCCCATGTGCGATCCAAATTTAGCGGGAAAGAACGGTGTTTTTCACCTTCTAAAGCGGGCCGGTGCGTGAGGTAAATAAGCCTCCTTTAAAATGCCAATGTCTGCAATAGGCCCCAAGGAATAAACTCAAAAGGTTGTTGCGCCCTCTGTAGGCCCCTCTTGCAACAACCACCCCCATACACCTAGGTCGGAATTGGCTGTCCCATAAAACAACGAATGAAACCAACAGGAGCTTGTTTGAGTTGATCAAACTCCACTTGAGTCAAAAAACGTCAGAGAATGCTCGCAATATATAAGGTAGGATGTTCTCAATATATGTCTGCAATAGAGGTGTTTTTTCTTCAATATGTAAGATCTAAGGTGTATTAAAATTACATTGCGTCCGCAATAGGGATATGATTTGCCAATATGCTGTCAGCCCTAGGGGCCTATTATGTTTTAGCATGCACATGGTGTAAGAGTTTAATATAGGGGTGACCCCACTGGAATTTAAATTCACCCTTCACGTATGCATAATTACACATGCAACAGCGTATGTATTATGTTATATGAAAATACATAACCAGCAAACAATCGACCAAACCAACTCATATGTCAAATCTGTTACGCAGTTATGCTTATTATTAAGCGCACATGTTTATGATTTCATTCTCACCTTGGCAAAGTCCATGGAGCACGCATATACGTACACACACAGACACATGTACAAACGAATACATTTCAAATATGTTACGCCACAAAGTAATTAAATTCATAGTTACAAGTGCGCTGTAAACAATAAGTAAAATTGAATGGTAATTAACAACATTTTAAAAAGTTCATCTTTATCAATGGGCGACAGGACGGGTTATTGAACACATACATTGAACGACGTAAAACATGGTACTTGTATTTGTCTTCTTCCTTTCCATTTGGACTTTTGAAGTCCAGCAGAACATCAGTTCCAGTAAGGTCTTTAATTATGATTTTGATACAGGAAATGTGGATCGCTGCTTTGAGTGTTAACACAGATTTTCTCCTTCGCGACCAAGGTACAAAATAGGCCATGATTTCATCTTTATCTTATTTTTATAACATATCTTTTACCATAATGAATTATTATCCAGGACTCTCCTAAGGAAAGGTCCTTTTCCAGTTTACAAAAAAGGCAGCTCTCGATTCCCCGCAAACCAGATTTCAAGAAAAAAGCCACTAGTAGGGTAGGCAACACAAATAAGTTTTAAAGAACCAATTCACTTGCCCTGTGTTTATTGGAGGTGTGGCTATGCTGATGAATCCTTATAATCACCTGTTTGGCCCAAGTATACATAAATTCGTAGTTTATTCACAAGCTGATAGCACTAATACCCATAAGCATCAAAGTATATAACGGGTTAATCAGACTTGCTTCCACGGAGAACAGACGTGAGCTGCATAGACATTCCGTAATGACAAGCTAATATAAACGTGTTACAAAGTGATGTGGCATTGACCATTTCTTTGAATTACATTTATTTCAACAATGTTCTCGCTAACGAGAGGGCACCCACGGAACTTACACTGGACAGGGGGTTATTTAACTGCTAGTACGGGGTAGACAAGACAATAGCATTGGAAATGAAATACATACACCAAAATACCGAGTTAAAGCTCCTGGCTTTAGTACCTCTCAACATAATTACAAGAAATAAAGCACAGAAAAATACAATGAATAAAGTCACTAATATATGGGATTGCTTAGGGAAGTGTGCATTGATGATAATTCACAGTTTCAGGATGTAATAATAGACGACAGTCAATGGATTCTGCAACACATCAACGAAGAAATACAGAAGTCTTGCTTGCAGGGGAACGCTGGTATTTTGGATGGCGTCGATGAAAGCAGGAGATCGCAGAGTAGTTCATACAAGTCTCACAGAATGATGGTTGAATCCTGTATTTTTGATTCACAATATCACAGTAGCTACACACAGGATACTAAGTTGAAAAGATGGACCTAAAATGTCCTCAGTCTGTCAAACTTATAGGCATGATTCAGTGTCACCACCTGGGTTTCCATATGAGCCAATCAGAATGTGACTTTGCTAGCAGCTGTGTCAGGTAGGCAACTCAGTAGATCATAAACCTTTTTTGTTATTCAAATAACAGCATACCCGGTAGATTTCAACTATCCTTCCAGAGTTGAAAACAAGTATGACCTGTCAATCACTTTTATGACAGTTATCACACGGCAATGCACACCGTTTCTTCCCATGATTCCATGCACACTTCCATTTGCAGGGTTTTAGTAATATAACAAAAACATAGAATAAAGGATGCGGACAATGGCATTCATCTGAAATGCAAATTGACGTATCGTATCTATTTGCCACCCTTTTATCGTTTAACTTCGACACCACGAAGATGGCCACGATGCACGTCTGCTTATGATGCTGTCAAGCTCGCTACGGTCAACAATAAAAAATAGTCAATGCTCAGCGTTTATACTTTCACTCGCATAAATGATGCTACTAATATGTGGCAATAGTAAGATAATAAATTTAAGACGATGCATTACTGCGTGCGAAAACCTGATGACCACACCACTTGTAACGCAAAATAAAACTGACTAATTTACATTTCCTCATGTGAACGAGGCTGGTCAGACAAGGAAAGTCGGAACTTGTATTGTCTAAAATAAATAGTTTTAGTCATTTGTTCACCTACTGTGGGCCGGAGCATGGGTACACATTTACAGCACGATTTTGACATTTTTCCTAAACAACTGTAAAAGAGCCACGAAGAAGCCAGTAAATTAATTAATTCGTACCGAGTCACATGTAACATTATTGGTTCGTCATCGGCAACTCTAAAAATCGTCTGGTTCGAGTCTCATTCCTGTTCCATTTACCATCATATGCTGCGCTATTTCCGGGATACACTCTTTATTACCAAGTAACAGTAAACAATACTAAACACAGTATTCATTTCATTGAAACACGACTAGGGGTATTTCTGGCTCGTACTCTCTGTGGCAACTTTTTAAATTTCCGGACAAAATTTTCATTTTCTTCGTTGAATCCGCTATGTGATAATGAGAAAAGCATGACACAACATGTTTCAGCGGCTTAACGTCACGTGACGTGATTGACAGCAGTTAATTATTCAATGTTAGTAGCGCGTCTCTTTTCCCGGTTTCTGTTTTTGACATTTATCGGACAAAATCTCAACTGGTACACTATTTATTGTCATAAATGTTAACGGCTGTGATATCCACAGTCACAAACATCCACTTTGGCACGACATAATCGATTTGTAAGTTTGAGAAAACACATCTTTACCGGAGCTTGGCTGGAGCTGTTTACTATAGCGTGACTTTCAAGCAAATAATCCATATTGTCTAGAAGCGTATTTATAGTATACCTGGGCCTTTAACATATCATTGTTATCATTTAGCGACAGAAAAGTGTTCCTGGCATTTTTAGATAGGACTAGGAATTTCATAATTTAAACAAACAAAAAAACAAGGCAGCTATCGATTTCTCGCGAACCAGATTTTAACAATATTACACCAGTAGGGTAGGCATCGTAAATAAGTCTCTACTGCAGATCTCCGTTATTTGTGTGAGAGGTGAAATGTACCAACACCTGAAGTCGTTTTTTTCTTTTCATGCAGTGACAGCAGATCTCATAAGTTTTCCTGCCAGAATAAATTGTTAAGACAGGACTAAAAATCTATCAGTTCTGCCTTTCTCTAAATTATAAAGTAGTTTGTATATGTGTGAACAACTGGAATTAACGTTATTGACTAACATTATCATTCACGTTTTGTCAATTGCAATTACAAAATTTATGTGAATTTTGCGTGATTTGAAACTTCCAAGCGCAAAGACATACGTTTATATACGTAAACTATCTTGGTGCGTACACAGAAATTTATTCCAATATATTTACATTCTCACCTCCACATTAGCAACATCAATTGACCATTTGAGAAATACATTGGTTGTTTTGGTAATTGGTAATTGATTTATCTCAAAACTACACAATGTATTTATAGCCTGTACAATACAATTATAGACTGTAGTAGAAAACTTCCCATTCATATTCTTTATATAAGTGAATATAATTGTACTTCGGGTGGATTATTTCATCCCCGATGTGGAACCACATTTAGCCATATATATGTAGCTGAGCACCCATTA